ATCCTATTAAAAACACATTTCATTGATATCTAAGACATGATTATTTGTAGGGTGCACTATGTGTTGCCAAGAAAGTAAAACCACTGCAGATTGTTAAATAATGCTAAAAGTACTAAAGTAATGTAAAAAAAAATCTCAACTTTTGAGGTAAGAAAATGTTTTTTAAAAGTTTAGTTTTGAATTGATGTGATATGTATCTTGTTGAATAGATATATTTAGCTTAGTCATTACTTATTTACTAGTGATCTTTTGAGGAAATTATTCTGAAAAAGTTATACACACAGAGACTATGAGTAATACTACATTATGAAAGATGGGGATATGATTAGTATGAAAAAGTATGAGTAACTGAAAGGATTGTATGAGTAATTGCTACAAACTGTCAATTACTGGCCTACCACCAGAGATTGAAATGTCATAAATGCTGAATGGTCCAGGAAACTAGAATTGTCACAGGCACTTCAAGAAACTGCTATTCAGTTGTCCTGGAAATGTATTCAGGTCCTGTACTGTAAAAGAAAAGGCAGAGTAAGTGGGGACAGACAGGCATAGATTGGTAGAGTTAGGAGTGGGAAGATGAGGTAATATGCATCTCGTTGCTTCTGTGTTTTTTTGTGTTTCTTTTTTTAAGTAAAATATGAGGTCATTGTCTCAGAATGTAGTGGGGGAGGGGAAGTTAGAGCTTTTGGAAAGATTGTGTGGAATAGTCAATACAGAAAGCATGAAAACAAGAGGAAATAGTTCTGTGAATATGTTTTCTGTGAAGATAGAATACGTTTGTAGGTAGAGTAGAAAAACATTGAAGTAGACAAAGTGCTTGGTTGTTGGGTAGTATCCCACTTGGTGGTATAATGAACACCCACTTGTGGAGGGAGAAACAAGACAGCCTGCCCTCTAGAATTGCCTTAGATTGTTCCAGTCCCCAAGCTACAGTCTATTCTGCCTGAGATCTGACTGTCCCCAGGTGGTTGTGAGATTCCTGCCTCCATTATTATCCTGTATAAAGGTACAAAAATAAGTTCCCAGATGAGGAAGGCTCGATTCCAACACAAGACTGAGTCAAAACTTGACTCTTGATCACTATCATGTATTCCACCCCAAAAAATAAGAGCTACTGGTGTGGCGCTGTGGGTTAATGCGCCAGACTGCAAAGCTGTTTGAACTGTAAGGTCAGCAGTTCAAGCTTACCAGCTGCTCCTCGGAAACCCTCTACAGGGCCTCTATGGGTCAGAACCGACTCAACAGCACTTAACAACAACAACAGCAAGGTGTCCTAAGTGAGCTTCTTTTATGTGGAATGAGAGTAAACAGTCATTCATGTGCTGAAAACCAAATGTTGGTTTTTTTGTTGTTGTTGGGGTGCATGGGGGCTGTGCGGTGAGGGGTGACAGGGAGGAAGACCAGACTCTTAAGGTGTCTCTTCTGGTTCCTCATGTTCTGGTTCCACTACATCCATACATCCCACCTTTCTGTGCTCAGACTTGTGGCCCAATCTACTTATAGTCCCGCTAAGGCTGGGATCCTTCTGTTAAGGTGTATACATCTTAGGAGTGTATTCAAGTTGATCCATTTTGGATATGGTAAAAATATGAATATCTTTGTTCTAGAGCACTCTTCTTCCGTTGCCCAGGTTGTATGGTCTGTTTACTTGGAATACTTTCAGCTTTGTTTGACAAAGTTCTACTAATCTTAAGGTCTCAGTTGAACCCTAACTTCTTCTAAGAACCTCCCAAGTTTGAGGTTAGTAAGTCTCACCCCATATTCGCTGCTGACTTCCTGTTCTGGCTTGCGAGAGTGCTCACCACATTGTAACACTATTGCCTCTTTACTGGTAGGCACTTGTGACGCTTCAATGTCTAACCCAGTGTCTGGCTCAGAATCAGGCTTGAGAAATATAAACAGAATGCTAGAAGATCAAACAAGTCTTCATTTTTTAATTGTTTCAGTTACAGATTCCACTAAGCCAGTTCCTTAATTGTGCCATGCATAGCTTTGAGAATAAATATTTTTAAATCTTATGATGACTTCTGTCTTGGGCTATAACTTAACATATTATAAAAAATGCAAGTTGTTTTGTTGTTGTTAGGTGCCGTTGAGTGGGTTTTGACCCATAGCAACCTGATGTCTAACAGAGCGAAACACTGCCAGCGCGGTCCTGCGCCATCCTTACAATTACTGCTGCCATTGTACCAGTCCTTCTCACTGGGGTCTCCCTCTTTTTCTCCTACCCTTCACTTTACCAAATATGATATCCTTCTCCAGGGACTGGTCCCTCCTGATATAGGTCCGAAGTATGAGAGATGAAGTCTGGCCATCTTGGCTTCTAAGGGGCATTCTGGTTGTACTTCTTCCAACACGGAGTTGTTTGGTTTTCTGACAAACCGTCATACCTTTATTATTTTTCTCCAACAGCAAAATTCAGATGTATCAATTCTTCTATGGTCTCCTTTATTCATTGTCTAACTTTCACATGCATATGAGGCTATTGAAAATACCATGGCTTGGGTTAAGGTTGTAACACTCTTAACAATGAGAAAATATAGAATCTATAATAGTAAATAGACTCATCGAAAAAGGTAGAAAACAAACCAAACAAATTCTAGAAAAACCACTGGAGTGTGGCACTGTAGAATCAACATTGGACTGCGAACCACAGGGTTTGGTGGTTCAAACTCACCAATTGCTTCTCGGAAACAGTAGGTTGCTATGTAGCAATTTGCACTTTCAACTTTGCAAAGCCAGATTCTTTCATGTCATGATCAATTTAACTCTTGTCCTTTAATATTAAACATCTAATTAATTCCTATGCTCCCTTCAGCCTATAGCTTCTAACTTTTTCAGGTTTTTGATAACTAGCAAAGTTAATAGAAGAGTTCCTTCTTTGCATTGTTCTTCATGGTGAATACCTTTCTTCCCATTCGTAACTGTTTTCTTTTCTCACTAAAAATGGAAGTGTTTTGTCTTCTACAATCATAGGACTTACTCAAGTGACAAAGAAATGATTTGTTCTTGTTTGCCATTTGTGATCTTCTATGTCTCCCTTTGTTACATGCGTGTTAATTGTTGCCAATTGCCTTGAGTCTGTTCTACTCATAATGACCCTGTAATGTTCTGGGGAGCAGAAAGCCTCTGTTGGTAGAGTAGCTGGTGAGCTTGAATCACGGACCTTTGGTTCACAGTCCATTGGTTACTGTATGGATACACTGCACTCCCATTTGTTACATTTGTTGTTATTAGGTGCCATTGAGTCCATACCAACTCATAGCGACCTTATGCACAGCAGAACGAAACACTGCCCGATCCTGGGCCAACCTCACTACCATTGCCACGCTTGAGTGCATCGATGCTGCCACTTGACCAATCCATCTCGTTGGGGGTCTTCCTCTTTTTCTTTGACCCTCCACCTTACCAAACATGATCTCTTTCTCCAGTGACTGTTCCCTCCTGACAATATATCCAAAGTATGAGAGATGAAGTTTGGCCATCTTGGCCTCCAAGGAGCATTCTGGCTGTACTTCTTCCAAAATGGATCTATTGGTTCTTTTGGTAGCCCATGGCACTTTCAATATTCTCCTCCAACACCATAACTCAAAAGCATCAATTCTTCTACGGTCTTCCTTATTCACTGTCCAGGTTTCGCATGCATATGAGGTTATTGAAAATACCATGGCTTGGGTCAGGTGCACCTTAATCCTCAAGCTGACATCTTTGCTCTTTAACACTTTAAAAAGGTTTTGTTACATTGTTGTTGTTGTTAAATACCATGGAGTTGGTTCTGACTCATAACGACCCTGCACTGGGTTTCCAAGGCTGTAAATCTTTATGAGAGCAGAAAGCCTCATCTTTCTCCCACAGAACAGCTGGTAGTTCACACTGCCGACCTTGAGGTTAGCAGCCTGATTCATAACCACTACACTACCAGAGCTCCTCAGGATGGACAAAAATATTATGAAGGGTTATTTTTAACTATTTATGGAAAATATTTTTCTTGTTGTTGTTAAGTACTATTGAGTCAGTTCCAACTCATAACAACCCTGTAGAAGGTTTCCAAGTAGTGGCTGGTGGGTTTGAGATGCTTCCTTAGGGTTAATAGTCCAGTGCTTATCCTACAGCATCACACCAGAAACTCTGGAAAATGCTCTGTTGTTGTGAAGTGCTGTCAAGTCAGTCCTGACCCATACTGACCTTGTATAGGGTTTCCAAGGAGCAGCTGGTGAGCTTGAACCACCAACCTTGCATTTCCAATGGCTTTGCAGTGTGGCACATTAACCCACAGCATCACACCAAGATAGTTCTTATTTGAAACTATTTTTCTTCATCTTTTAAAATTCATTTGTATCCACACGTGCTTTTCACTGCAATCTTGAATGCTAGTTAGATCTAGAATCACAAGAATTTTATTAACACCTTTGTAATTGGTTTAACTTCCTTACTTGTTCATATGATTCTGATAATATAAGGAGAACTATGATATGTTCTTGACATAGATAGTTAGGGAAAATAGTCTTTTTTTTTTAGTAATGATTTTCAAACTACTGAACTCATATGTGGTTTACGAAAATTAGTTTGGTCCTTTAAAAGTAGTAAAATGTGCCCTAATTTAGTGCTGAGGCACTCTATAAGATTGAAAACTCTGAAACATCTTTTTATTCTGTTTCTGTATTTAGCAGGTTGTCTAAATAATGTCTCACCTTGCGGTTTCCAGAAGGGCAGGATGATAATTTAGTTCTCTGGTGAGTTTGTGGCCTAGGTCCATTTAAATTCACAAATAGAATGGTCAGAGAAAGCTTTAAAATTATAAATTATATTGAAAATATAGTGATGAATTATTATGGTACTAGAGTGAGTAGCAATAATGTGTCTTAGAGATTTTGAAAAATGACCCAATATTCCATTACTATGATCATGAAATACACAATATTATATGCAAAAAGTAAAAGCAAGGCATGTAATAAAAGCAATGACTTTTTCTTTTTCTTTTTTTTTCACTCTTCATGCAGGTTCAACTTGGCCAGGTAGATATCAAATGCCCTATCACAGAATGTTTTGAATTTCTGGAAGAAACAACTGTTACCTATAACTTAACGCATGAAGACTCCATCAAATATAAATACTTCTTGGAACTTGGCCGTATTGATTCCAGCACCAAGCCATGTCCTCAGTGCAAGCACTTTACAACCTTCAAGAAAAAAGGACATATTCCCACCCCTTCCAGATCAGAAAGCAAATACAAAGTAAGCATGTTCCCCACAGTTGTGGGTTAGATGTCACAGGATGGGAACAGCCATATTGGGCCAACTTGTGGTGGGCATTAAAGGGGCTTCCTCCCCTTACTAGATCCTAAGATGAGTATATGTTGGCTATGATTCTGAGTAAGAATGGTTTGGGAAACTGATGATAAGAAACTATCTGAGAATTTATTTCAAGTTTTCTCTTTAAACTTAAGCATGTTTGAAAATTTAGTAACTCAATTGAACTTCTAGATTAATAGTAATTGTTATTACTAAATACTAAAGCTTTTTCTTCTTTTTTTAAAAAAAGTATGAGCTTAACTTTTTCAATTATCCTACTGTGAGTCTATCCTGCTGTGAGATTCTGTCTTAATTAGTGAAAATAGTATAAAATGTTACTGTTTTCTCTATTCAGCAAGGATAGAAAACTCTGAAACATCTTTTTATTCTGTTTCTGTATATGTTAGTTAGTATACTAAGTTTGGAAGAAACCTGGGTGGCATAGTGGGTTAAGCATTGAGTTGCTTAATACAAGATCTATGGTTCAAACCCACCAGCCACCCCATGAGAGGACGATGAGGCTATTTTTTCCTGTAGAGATTTATAATCTCATAAGCTCTTAAAATCAGTTATACTGTGTCATAAAGAGTGATTTGGAGTTGAAATCCACTTGATGGCAGTGGGTTTGGTTTAGGGTTGATGCTAACCTTGGGGAATTCAGAGGCAACCATGGTATAGTTCCTGCTCTAAAAAAGTTTATTGAAGGTGGAGCCATCTTCTAAAATAGAGTTCAATATTATTAACAAAAAGTACTGATAGAACATATGGGGTAATGCTTTGGTAATGCTAAAGGAAGGTTAAGGGGGAAAGGTATAATGAAAAACTCATAGAGGATGTACCATTCTCCAGACAGGTAAACAGTAAAGCACATTTCAGAGCAGGAGATAAGTGTTTAGCCCCAGAGGCTGAGGTCACAGCATGTTGTAAACAAGTGCTTTGCAGAGCTACTAGGGAGAAGCATAAAGAAGAGAAAGCTGTTCTTGATAGATAAGAGCAGGTCGTGTTGAGCCTTTTACACAGTGCTCAGACGTTTGAATTTAGATCTTTTCCACTAGAAAAAGATCATTCTGGCAGCATTGATAGCGAATGTCATAGGAAGACTAGATGGAAGGCAGAGAAACTGGTACAACTGTGGACATGTAAATCATTGACTTACAATCCATTAGAATCCCTTGGAGCTCTTTTAAGAACACTGGTGCCCCAGGCTCACCTTAGAACAGTTCTCTTCGGTGAAGGGAATAGCCATTGCAAACTTTTTAGCCTCTTGGTGACTAATTCATGGCAGAGTTAAGAACTTTTATAGTAAATGAAGCAAGAAATGATGAGGCTGTAGCAGTAGTTTTCACTCTTGTCATGATATAAAAATGGCAGGTTGAAGTGGTATCAAAGGCTGTTGTAAGTCATCTCCATTTAAATTTTTCCTCTTGTCCTATGTCTTGGGAGTAGCCATTGCTGCATTATTCATTCATTCTGTAGCTATGAAGAGATGATGGTTTAGCAGTTTCTTCTGCTATTAAAATAATGAGCTGTAATACTTGCAGATTAGTCAAAGTGTGAATAAATGGCCTTAGAAACTATTTGGCTCTCATTTAAAATAATTGTTTTTTGAATTTATTATTTTGGAAAACACAGAACTCATTAAGAAGTAACTATTAGATGTAAACTATCACATAATTCAAAATTTAAAAAAAATAGCTATTAGAAATCCTTTTTTGAGTGTCTAAAGTGTCATTTTTGAGGTTATGAGATTATGTAGATAAACTATACCCTAATAATGATTTCAGTACAGAGATAATAGTAATAAAGTATTTTTATTTGACTCTCAACATTCTCAGGTTATTTTAAGCTATTTTCATCCCAGTATATGAGTTTCAGATACTAGTAAATGATTCATTTCAAAAAGTCTTGTTATTGCTCTTACAGAAAAGTGTTTATTCTACAATTTAGTTTATTTATTTGTTCTGAAAATATGTTTAAAATTAGAAAAATTTGTATCCATCTGGAGTCCTGGTGTGACGTTGTGAATAAATATGCTGGACTGCAAAGTTGGTTTGAACCGTAAGATCGGTGGTTCAAGCTCACCAGTCGCTCTTTGGAAACCTTGTACATGGTGGCTATGGGTCAGAACTGACTTGACAGCAATTCACAACAATATATCTAGATAGGTAGGTAGGTAGGTACATGGACAGATGTTAAATGTCGTTGAGTCTAGATAGAGATATAGACATAGCACTTAGTAACAACAATCTATGTGTGAGGGTTAGTAAAAAATTATCCTCGCTCTGGTTGTAGAATTTATTTTTATCAACTTTTAGAAAAGATAAATACATCATTTTCCGACATAATCTACCTGCTTTTCAATACACTTTGTCCATCTGTCAACAAGCTTTCATATTCTCTTATTAAAAAATGTTTTAGGCTCAACCTAAAACACTATCTTCACTTCTTCATCAGAAATGAATCTTCATCCTCGTAGGACTGCTTTCAGGGGACCAAACAGGTGAAAATCTGATGGAGCAAGATCAGAACTCTAGGGGGATGCAAAACTTCCTCAAAAGGAAGTTTTGCAAAGTATAAACAGTGTGGGCAGAGGTGTGTGGACATGCACTGTCATGCAAGATCACAAGGCCCATGGCGTTTTCTTTGAAGTTTAGTCTTCAGCTCTTCAGTGAGCATCTCACTGTAAGGAGCATTTGATTTTTGAACCTTTTTTCCTGATAGTGTTCCAGTACTGGTCCTAGATAATCCCAGAAAACTATAAGCATCAATGTTCCAGCTGATGGTTGACTTTTGAACTTTTTCTTGGTCAGTGATTGAGGATGTTTCTATTCCATTGTGGTGAAGAACCCATGCCTCATCACCAGTAATGATGAAAGAAAAAAAAAAAACTTAATACCTTCCTTCAAGTATCAGTCCAAATTTTGTTTGCATATGGCCAAGCACTTTTTTTTATGCCCTTCTGTTGTTTCAGTACTCATCTCACACGAAGTTTTCAAAACCCACGTCTGTCATGGATTGTTTCATAGGCAAAGCCATGGTTTGCCACATAATGTACTGTCACTCGTCTATTTGACAGAATCATTCCATGTGCACATTAATGTTATTATCAGTTATGGATATGAACAGGCACTTTATATAACCAGAGTGCTGATAAGTTTTCATTGACCCTCATGTCTATGTGTGTGTGTCTGTATGTCTTTATATACACACATGTAAGTATACATATATGTGTATGTAGATATGTGTATGTGTAGAGAGAGAAGGCATTCCTGGGTGACACAACATTAAGTTATCTTCTACTAGCTGAAAAGTTGATGGTTAGAACCCATCACAGTACCTCAGAAAGACAGGCCTAGTGATCTGCTTCTGAGAGACCACAAACTTGAAAGCCCTCTGAAGTTTACTTTGCACACATGGAGTAACCGTGAGTTGGAATTGAGTCAGTGACAACTAACAACAAATGCAGATGTGTGTTCCTCAACATTCATGGTACATTCTTTGAAAATAGGACATTGTGTGCTTTGGAGGTAGTGTGAATAATTTATATCTACTACCTCCTGCTGTCCCACTGGGATTACTGAACTCTATTGTAACGTTGTTGTTAGGTGTCATCGAGTCAGTTCTGACTCATAGTGACCCTGTATAGAGTTTTAGGGTCTGGTGAGTTTGAACCACCAACCTTTCGGTCCAAACCTACCTCTGGTTGAGAACTTATCCTGCAGCGCCACACCATTATAGGACCACATATGTATGTGTGGTTGGATGATGCCCAAATGGCATTCTGTGTTTATCGTATGGAGCTACTGCACGCATGCATGTGTGTATGCAAATATATCTATATATTTGTTGTTAACGTGCCCTCTAGTTGGGTTCAAGTCATAACTACCCTATGCAAAACAGAATGAAACACTACCTGGTCCTTTGCCATCCTCACAGTTATTACACTTGACCCCATTGCTACTGCCATTGTGTCAGTCCATCTCATTGTAGCTCTTCTTCTTTTTCTCTGACCCTCCACTTACCAAACATGATGTCCTTCTCCAGGGACTGGTCACTCTTGATAACATGGCTGAAGTATGAGACATGAAGTCTCACTATCCTAGATTCTCAGGAGCAATCTGGCTATATTTTTCACAACACAGATTTGTTTGTTTTACTGAGAGTAGTATATGGTACTTTCAGTATTCTTCTCCAACACCATAATTGAAATGCATAAATTGTTTTTTGATCATTGACCAACATGCACATGCATTTGAGGCTACTGAAAATACTATAGCTTAGGGAAGATTCATGTTACTTCTCAAAGTGATATCTTTGCTATTGAACACTTTAAAAATAAGGCTTGTGCAGCACATTTGCCTAATAAAGTATGTCTTTTGATATCTTGGCTGTTGCTTCCATGCATGTTGATTGTGGTTCCAAGCAAAAATGAAGTTCAGTCTCTTTTCCATTTATCATGATATGTTTTATTGGTCCAGTGGTGAGGATTTTTGTTTTCTTTATATTGAGATGCAATCCATACTGAGGGCTGTGCTCTTTGATCTTAATCAGTAAGTATTTTAAGTCCTCTTCACTTTAAGCAAGCAAGGTTGTATCATCTGCATATCGCAGGTTGGTAATGAGTCTTCCTTCAATCCTGATGCCAGTTTCTCAGATTATTTGCTCAGCATACAGATTGAATAAATGTGGTGAAAAGATACAACCTTGACACACACTTTTCCTGATTTTAAAACTTTCAGTATCCTATTATTCTCTTTGAAGGACTGCTTCTTTGTGTATGTGCAGGTTCCTCATGAGCACAATTAAGTGTTCCAGAATACTCGTTCTTCACAATGTTAGCCATAGAATCAAAAGCCTTTGCCTAGTCAATAAAACACAAGTAAACATCTTTCTGGTATTTACTTTCAAAAATGATACATCTGGCATCAGCAATGATATCCTTA